GAAGTTCCCTTCTCGGCTGTGGTTGGGGTCCTTCCCCTTTACCAAGCCACTGTCTACAACGCTTAACATTTTGATAAAAGATCCATTTTTTGTCGTCAGTGACAAGACTATCCAAAAAAGATGAAACAAGTTGGCGAGAATGGAGAGAAGAGCAGATGTCAACTCGGGATTTGAGGTTGTTTTTAGACAATTCACGAGGCACCCATTTTCCAAGTTTAGAAACTTTTCCAAGTTGTTGAAGATGACGATGAACAGTTGTATGGTTTGAACCGTGAACCACTGCCAATTCCTCAACTGATAAAGCAGGATTTTCTTCAAGGGCTGCTTCAAGAAGCTTTTCATCAAACTCAACTGGACGTCCGGTTCGATCTTCATCTTCAAGGGTGAAATCTCCACCTCTGAATTTTGCAAACCATCTTCTGCAAGTTCTTTCATTCACACATTCCTCTCCATAAACTGAGTGAATGTTTCTAGCCGCTTCGGCTGCTGAGTTTCCTTTCTTGAACTCATAAAGCATTATGCGCCTCAAATGATTCTTGGGTACTTCCATGTTAGCAGGGTTTTAATCAAACAAAATTTAATTTTATTGTTCTCTGAAATAATATTTGATCAGTGTAAATGCATCTAAACATGAAAATAATGTTCAGCTCCATTATACATTATAAAATACTCTTTAAATTTCGTTCATTTTAAAAAAAGATCAAATTTGGACAGAACTTGTGGAATGACCTGATATATCGAGCGGCTTCAAGTTATATTTGGGGTTTTTTTGCACCCACATCACTGGAAGAGCCCACTAGGCTTACATGTGATTTATACTGCAACTATGCTCGAGAGGAAGTTAGAATTTCAATACGTATTTGGGTTTGTTCTGCAGCCAGAGCACTGAAAGAGCCCGCAGGATCCACATGTGATTTATGCTACAAATATGCCTAGCGAGTTTCATATTTGGATTTGTTCTGCACTCACAGCACTGAAAGGGCCCACTGGGTCCATATGTGATTTATACTGCAACTATGAGAAATGAAACTTAAAGTTTCTAGGGAAACGTGGGTTTGTTTAGCATCCACAACACCCAAATGAACCCACATGGCCCACATGTGTTTTATACTGCAACTATTCTGAACTGACCCTAATTAGAGCTTCTAGCCATATTTGGGTTCATTCTACATCCACATCACTGAAAGTGCCCACTAGACCTATATGTGATTTATACTGCAACTATGACGAGCAGACCTTAGTTAGACGTTTTAGGCATATTTAAGTTAGTTCAGCACCCACAACACCGAAAAAGCCCACAGGACCCACATGTGATAAATACTGCAACTATGCCGCGCGGAACTTAGAGTTTCAAGACATATTTGGGGTTGTTCAGTACTCAAAGCACCGAAAGAGCCCACAACTCTCAAAGTTCTTGTTCAACTCTGCCGTAGCCAGGTATTGAACTCACAACACTTTCTAGTTCAGTTACTGGATGCAATCAACGCTTTTACCCAGTGGCACTGTGGATAAAAGCGTGAACAAGAATTTGAAGAGTTCAGTTAAAGGGAGATAACTGAGACATCCCGAAGAGGCATGGCACTAGAAAAGGCATTGCACTTCTGCTGACGAAATAAAGGAATCAGTTCGAATTTCCAATCCCCGGAAGTAGGCCGGAGCGTACAACGATCGAAAGGTCGTGAATATAGCAATAAAGATGAGGACAACAGCCCGAACAATGTAACTAATGTAAACAGAGATATCTAATCAAATATAGATACTATATTTTCTCGTGTATAATACGATTTGGGTATAATATGGCCTCGTGTTTCTGAAGCGAAAACCAGGGATTAAATTACATCCTCGAGTATAATATGACCTCGTAGTACAAGCCATACTTATGTAATTTATTTTTGAAAAGTTGTAGCATCATTAAAATCTCAATGACGTACTCGTATAAATTATCTTAATATATTTGCAATTTAAAATAACAAGTGCCAGTGTACACTGTTTATATAGTGATATAATTATGTCGGGGTTGTTTACGTATCTAGTTTTCATTGTATTATTTTTCTTGAAACGTTTGAAGTTTTCATGCTGGATACTCCCGTGTCTACAAACGGAGTAATATGAAACAGCAGACTCACAGCATGAGAAATACCATCGCCCTAATTTTTCATGTGGAAAAATAAACACATAAAATATGCATAATTTATGCAATAGTCAGATCTTTGTGGTAATATTAATGTTATCAAAACATGACAGATCTAGTGTATTCCCTTTATTAATTTTTTTTATAAATTAATTTCGTCGAGTTTCCTTTGAGACAAAAGACTTTCAGTTACACTTATTCTCAAAGAACAAATATGGCCGACATATCAAATACCTTTTGCAAGAAATTGCTATAAACGCCCGCTTAGTGTTTTATTATGTATTGTGTTATCTGAGTGTATTTGCAATTTTGCTTCTTCAAATAAGTGTTTTATTTAATGCTCTGTAAACATTTTTTGAAAACGTGTACTAGTGTTTAATACAACCGCCATATTTTGTCTAAAGTTTCATTGAAAATGTTTCGTATTATGCACAAAAATGCAGTATCCATTAAAATGGCGTTTATAAAAATAAGACATTTTCATGAATTAGAAAACAAAGGTAATTATTATTTAAATAGCACGTCTGTATGCAGATGCACACATATACACACAAACACACTTCCGTATGCACATACACATATACACGCATACACTTCTGTATGCATATGCGCACATGCACTTCTATATACACATGCATACAGACACAATTATGTGTGCACATGGACACATACATATACATACACACATATGCACACATTCACTTTTGTATGCACATGCATCCATCTACACAGACTTCTGTATGGACATGCACACATACACACACTTATGAACATGCACACATACACTTATGCATGCACATGTACACATACTCACACATACACTTCTGTATGCACATGCATGCATGCACACACTCATGTATGAACATGAACACATAAACGAATACACTTAGGTATGCACATGCATACATACAGATACACATGTGAATGCACATACACACGTATAATTTTGTATGCTCATGCACACATATACACACATTCACTTTTGTATTCACACGCATCCATGTACACAGAGTACTGTATGCACATGCAAACACTTCTGTATGCACATGTACACACTTCTGTATGCACATATACGCATACGCACATACACATCTGTATCCGCATGCAGGGAAATATGCACACATACACTTCTGTATGCACATGCATGTATATAGACACACTTCTGTATGCACATGCACACATAAACACACATTTCTGAATTCCCGCGCACTCATACACTTCTGTATGTACAAGCACACATACACAGACACAATTCTGTATGCACATGCATACATACACACCTCTATATGCACATTCACACACCTGCACTTCTGTATGCACGCATACGCACATACATTTCTGTATGCACATGCACACATACACTTCTGTACTCACGTGCACGCATACACTTCTGTATGCACATGTACACATATATACATATGTTTCTGCCTGCACATGCATACACCCAATTCTGTATACACATGAACACATACACCTACGCTTCTGTATGCACACATAGATACCCGCATATGTTGGTACCTTGACATGCGAGTTTAATTCGTTCTATGATGCATCTCGTCACTAAAATTACTCGTATGCCAACGGTCGTGTGCCATATCCACAGCTACACTTGGAAAATCACTCCTCGTATGCCAAATCAGTTTTCCCCTTTGAAATGAACTGAGATAATAATCCGTTCTGGACCCACCCTACACCCAATCTTTTGCTTACATGTTTTTAAATAAGAAAAATATGCTTATAAATAACGAATGTTGTATAAAAAAACACAATACAATAGAATGTACTGCAACAAACTGGCTTTATTAAGTATAATGTATAGCATTTACGTTGGAGATCAGATGACCTGAAGATGAGGTGAAGGAGAAAGGCTGAACTGAATCTTATTCGCTGATTTTTGTCCTTTTCGCCACACTTTCCTCACTTTCATTATTAAATAATAAGCAAATTAGCCGCGTTTTGCTTCGTGTCACACATTTTCTTTTTGTAACAAAATGATGATTGATTTTAAATTGTTATAATCTGTGGGGAAAAATGATTAATTTCAGTATTACTCAATGACCTTGCCGAAGTGACCTCCATCTTCAGACTTTCTCCTTCTATATTTTGGATAGGAGTAATTCTCTTATTTAAATTTAATTTAAATCAAAGGAAAAAATCAGTGGGTTGGGAGGCAAACACAGTTTGATCTGACCTCTTTCATATATATTCGATGCAATACTTGATTTTATGAATTGATGAGCAGATTTCAACATGATATGTACTCATTTATATCAAATGCACATGCCTCCTGAAATAGTCCAGAACATTTCCGAAGAGATCGTAAACCTGATTGCTCCTCAATTTGGCTGAGCAGCCTGGTGTTCCTCCACGCAGGCTTCTAATGAATCTTGATTCTGCAAAGTTGTGCAGCTGACTGCGCCTTGCTGACAAGATGCTTCTCTTATATGCCAACAAAAAAGCTACCCTAGCCATGATATACTGAAGGGAGATTTGTTAATTCCTATGATTTCTATAATTCCAACACATTCGTATGCAATAGACTTTATTTCTCATGACCAGATCAATGTTACTCAGACATTCTCAAACAACCTTCGACTCACTGAATGGAAGAACCCCGTGGCTTATGGCAACATGACGTAGAAACGCCGATTTCTATAAGATCACCGAAGTTAAGCAACGTCAGTAGCTAGATGATTGACTGCTTGGGAATACCAGGAGCTGTAGGCTTGTGTGTGCACAGGTGGTGTAAATAATAATGGCAACATCGAACCTGGTCAGTATATAGATGGGTGACCTCTTGAGATTACCAGATTCTGTAAACGGGTGTTGTAAAAAGATAATGGCTCTGAACTGTTAATAAATCTGAGACAAGTGTAGATATGTAAATACTAGGATAGATAGATAGATAGATAGATAGATAGATAGGAATGGACTGAGATAGATAGATACATAGATAGATAGATAGATAATCATCAGACATAGATTTTAATAGCTAGTTAAAGAGCTATTAGCCAGATAGATAGATAGATAGATAGATAGGAATGGACTGAGATAAATAGATAGATAGATAATCATCAGACATAGATTTTAATAGCTAGTTAAAGAGCTATAAGTCAGATAGAGAGATAGATAGATAGGAACGGACTGAAATAGATAGATAGATAGATAGATAGATAGTGTTGTAGCATACCTACAGACAATAATGGTAAAAAATGGGTATGTCACATAAATACAGAAGTAAATACTGTATGTTGGTCTGCAGTCGGAAATTCTTCTCCAGCTGTGCTGGTTGAACTCTCTGCCTCCGGACAGAGAGCATGCCCAAATGATGCTATGTCGAAGGGCAGAGTCTCGTCTCGGGAAACAGCTACTCGACTCCATTTTATACGGGGTCTACGGGGAATTTTTGGTTGTGACTACGGTCTCGTATACCCCACATTAAATTCGGCCTTGTGCCACATCTGACTGCATGGGGCGGTTGGTAGATATCCTGCCGTTGGAGATTCATTATGCACTTGATTCACTCGTAGTAGTTGACTACTTTTTCTACGCGCCGCTAGCGAATCTTAAATCTGCTGTTCTTGTCCTAAGTATTATCGTTCAGTACCAACCTTCGTTTGATTATTCTATTCAGTTACATTCTCTAGGTTACAACAGATAGATAGATACTAATCAAACATAGCTAGCATCAGACATAGATAGATAGATAGATAGATAGATAGATACTCATCAGACATAGATAGATAGATAGATAGATAGATAGATAGATAGATAGATAGATAGATACTCATCATAGATAGATAGATACTCATCAGACAAAGATAGATAGATAGATAGATAGATAGGTACTCATCAGACATAGATAGATAGATAGATAGATAGATAGATAGATAGATACTCATCAGACATAGATAGATAGATAGATAGATAGATAGATAGATAGATAGATAGATAGATAGATACTCATCATAGATAGATAGATACTCATCAGACAAAGATAGATAGATAGATAGAGAGATAGATAGATAGATAGATAGATAGATAGGTACTCATCAGACATAGATAGATAGATAGATAGATAGATAGATAGATAGATAGATAGATATAAACACACTGAGATAGATAGATAGATAGATAGATAGATAGATAGATAGATATAAACAGACTGAGATAGATAGATAGATAGATAGATAGATAGATAGATAGATAGATACTCATCAGACAAAGATAAATAGATAGATAGATAGGTACTCATCAGGCATAGATAGATAGATAGATAGATAGATAGATAGATAGATAGATAGATAGATAGATCTTTACTTTTCCTGACCTGAATGTGCCTTTGGAAGACATTTTCTGCGTCTAAAACTGTCGCTCGTCAAACCTTCCCAGCAATCATTGACTACGACACAGGCCGACATCGACACCTCACATTCCCATCATCCTTTGCGCATTTACGTGAAGATCTCGATCGACGTCTGTCTATCTCTTTTGCATCTTGCATCTGTGTTTTCTCTTCCGACTGTCCGATTTGTATCCCCTGCCACTTTCTAGCTGATCAACGTTTCTCCCACAACCAGCAGCATTTTAAACGAACGCAGAGGAACGAAGGGCAAAATACGATCCAATTTGATTTGATGTACGCGGGATGAAAATGCCGTGTAATATAAAAAAAAAAGTTGTGATGATACCAACTGACAGCGTCCGAACGATCCGAGCCTCCACCTGCAATTCTGGAATGATTGTTATTGTCACTTTCAGCCAATAATATTTTTCACCTTTACAAATCTGCCTTTTCCCCAGTGGAGGTCGGTGACTAGCATTTTGTTTGAAAGGAAGAAATACTATCCCCACGGTCATAATCCTTAATTTATTAGCGGTTTGCATGGCGCCAATGTCAAACACTGAAGACATTTTCACTCGTGAACTTATGTCAATAGGGAAAAATAATATTTAATAATTCGTAATTCACCTGGTCATGTGTTTATAATGAAATACGCCTTGTTTGTTTTATCTATCTATCTATCTATCTATCTATCTATAATTAAGTTATGAAGAACTTGGTAATCCGTATGGGTAATCCCAAGGAGGATGAAATCCTGAGAGCTCAATGTAAATCCAGCGTTAATATTTAAAAGAAAAAACAGACCACTTTAAGGTACCATTATAATAATTTATTTCACCAGAGTCCTTTATATATATATATATATATATATATATATATATATATATATATATATATATATAATATATATATATATATTTAAAAGGGCTCAATACAAAGTAGAGCAAAATATTATTATAATATTTTTATTATAATAAATTACTGTCATGTTTCAGTACTAAGATGGTAATTCTTCAGGCGATTTCTTTTTAACTCCTACCATTAACCTATTATTTGTATATATATATATATATATATATATATATATATATATATGTGTGTGTGTGTGTGTGTGTGTGTGTGTGTGTGTGTGTGTGTGTGACTGGAGAGAGATGTATCGGCTTTCAAGTCGAGTCCTTTCCAAAAGGGTTTATCAATAACGGGTATGTAGTTCTTAAGCAAAAAACAGCGGGAAGTATATGAAAAAAAAAAATGAAAAAGGTTGATGTTCACTTCGAAGTAACGATTAAAAAGGTTATGTCCGTCATTATTAATCGGCGTTCGGAACGTTTTAATATAATTTCCGACACATCACACTCACCCATGTATTCGCAATAAATATATTAGAAAAAATATTAACTGATGATTCATCCAGAATATATATGAAACAGCCTATATATATATATATATATATATATATATATATATATATATATATATATATAGGCTGTTTCATGCTAGACGCAATCGTTAGGCAGTCTGACGATTGCGTCTAGCATGAAACACCCTGTTGCCCCTGAGTGTTGACATCAATGTTCACTTTTATATTTATATTTACATACTCTCTATCTCTGATACTAAGCTTAAATATACCACACTTTAAACTATATTTCTTCATATATATACACACACACACACATACACACACACACACACACACACACACACACATACACACATATATATAGTTTAAGAAAAACTAGGTAATCTGTATGGGTAAACCTAAGGAGGATAAAATCCAGAGAGTTCAATGTAAATCCAGAGCAAATAATTTAAATAAAAACATACCACTTTAAGGTTCCATGTAATAAATTATTTCCCCACAGCCCTTTTAAAGGACTGCGGATCATCAGACTTTACTTCCAAACAAAAAATGAAAAGAAAATTTACACATTTTTGATGGGCCATATTAAACATATGTAAATTAACGAAGTGAGGAAGTGAGGTGGGAGAGAGAAGACATGAGTGAGTTAGCAGATATTGACACATTTAAACGGTTAACTTAACGGAAGTTATATATTGATATCGAAGGGGTAGAGAAGAAAAGACTCATAGAGAGAAAAAGAGAGAAGGAAGTTAAGAGAGAAAGTGTCACTAAATTTCTTTGTAAAAAAAAAGGGTTGGAAACAGACGCTGTTATTTTGTTTTACTTTGAAAGTGTTATTTTGGGGGTTCATAAAGATTATAATGTTTGATATAAATTTGAATGTCTCTAAACTGTCTACAAATAATTCAATTTGATGTTTGTTAGTGATTTAATTTTTTTTTTTTTAAATTTTGGGGATTTTCTATGAAATAGTCGATTAGAAAAATATTCATAGAAAGGGCTGTGGTGAAATAATTTATTACATGGAACTTTAAAAAGTGGTCTGTTTTTATTTAAATATATATATATATATATATATATATATATATATATATATATATATATATATATATAAAGAGAGAGAGAGAGAGAGAGAGAGAGGCATGTGGACGCGTGGTAGAACATTTGGATTCTGACTATAAGACCCGAGTTCGCTAACACGACTTAATGAGACATTAACTTACTATCAATTCCTTGAATAATACGATCTTATATTTAAGTTGTATTTTTGAGTTGTATATTTGAGTTGTTGTCAGGTTCGAATTGACGAGCCAAGTACTTTCGATAATTTCAAATTGTCATCTTCGGGGTTCAATTTTTCCATATACAAGCAAAACACTAAGACGAAATATGTGTAGTGTAGACCGAAAGATGTTATTTTAAAATCTGCTATTTATTGACAGTTATTTTGTCTTAGTGTTTTGCCTGTAAATGGAAAAAGTGCGACACGAAAATGACATTTCCTTCTATCGGATTCATCATCGGACTATATATATTTGCCCATCATCACTTCTTATGTATTTTTTTTTATAGTAAAATTACCAAAAATACATTCTTAAAGCTGAAATACCACCAATACATTTTATTTCAAAATGACCAACAATACATTTTATCTATAGTTTAAGCGTTAAAACTGTGTTCAAACTATTTAGTTTTCGTTATTAAATAACCCATAGAGGTGATATGGCATTAAACAAAATCAACTTGTGTTTATGTGTTCATTCGTAACTTGTTAATGTGTTTAGTATTTACTCGTATTCTATAATAATTCATTCTAACCTATAATAATTTACTCTTTTCTATAATAATTTACTTGTATTCTATAGTAATTTCCCCGTATTCTATAATAATTTACTTGTATTCTATAATAATTTATTCTTACCTATAATAATTTACTCTTTACTATAATAATTTATTTGTGTGCTATAGTAATTAACACGTATTCTATAATAATTTACTCGTATCCTATAATAATTTATTCTTACCTATAATAATTTACTCGTATACTATAATAATTTACTTGTATGCTATAATAATTTCCACGTATTCTATAATAATTTACTCGTATTCTATAATAATTTATTCTTACCTATAATAATTTACTTGTTTTCTGTAATAATTTACTTGTATGCTATAATAATTTACTTGTATACTATAATACTTTACTCCTATTATATAATAGTTTACTGGTATGCTATAATAATATACACTTAACCTATAATAATTTACT